TAATAATAAATAAATATTATAAAAGATATATTTATAATTAGAATTTATATATAAAATAGCCCGAGCTAGGCTTGAGGATAAACTTTTATAACTTCTTTAATAATTAATTTTTATATTAAATCTAACGATCGTTTTTAACTATTTTTATTAAAAACCTTATTAATAAAACTATAATTAATTACTAAAGCTTTCTTACTTTATAATTTATAAATAATAACTTTTTTAAAACTATTTTAATAACGTTTATTATTATAAATATCGTAGCCCCGACTTTTATTAATATAAACCTTATTACGACTAGCTAGCCGTAATAAAAAGATTTTAATTTTTATTTAAAATAGTCTATATTATTATATACTATAAAACTAAATATAAAATTTTAAAAAAAAACTTATATAAGTTTAATAAGATTAGCTTTATAATAAATATAATTATTATATTAATAAATATAATAAAGTAAATCTATTTAGTTTAATAATTATAAATAGGCTATAGGTATCAAATATATTAATAAAAACAAGTAATATTTTTATTTATTTATAATTACTTAAGATATTTATTACTTCATTAACTAAATTACGGAATAAAATGTTTAATATGCATAAGTTATTAAGCTTATTATAAATAAATAAATAGATAATTAAACGGGCCTAAATTAAATTTAATACTTTAAAAAATATATTAAAAACTAAACTAAAGGCGTCTACTAAATACTTATTAGTAACGGCTTTAAGAGCTATTTATTAGTTAAATTCAATAATTATTATAAGTAGAACAACATTATAACGGTTAATATGTCTATATATTCGTTGCTCCCTGTCGGTGGCGGAGTACCTAGTCTCTGCCTGGCTGAGCTTTCTACCAGAAACCGCGACAACCTAATTTTTTGGATAATAACCACGCCAAGGAAATGCCCAGAAGCGTCGGTGTACAGGTCGGCGTCTTGGTCTTCGGCCCGATGTCTCAAAGTATTGGCGGCAGATTGAGTATTCTTCAAAAGCGCGTTCCAATGAGTTTTGTATAAGGGGGAGATGGTCACCCTTGCCAGGGTAAAGGTGTGCAGAGAAATGCGACACAAGAGGGATGAAGTCGCGGAGATAGGAGACAATTCCAAGGGCAGACTGCAAGTCTTTCTTGGACGTGGGTGGAGGAATGTTAAGGGCCTCAACCAATTTCTTTCTGTTGGGTCCGACCCCAGCAGCGATTAGGTAGATCCCTGCGAACAGCAAAGCTTGCTGGTCGTATACAGACTTGTCTTCGTTCACCACGCATCCGACGTGAGCAAGAGTACTTTTTACGGCTGCCGTTCTCTTTCGTAACTCGGGCAGTGTCTCGGCGTAAATAAGTATATCATCGATGTACCACAGTGACCCATGGGTGTGTGGAGCGAGAATGGTGTCCGTAAACTGCTGGTAGATGCCGGGCGCGGTCTTCAGACCAAACGGCATCCGGCGGAATTGGTACTGTTGTCCGTCACACGTAGATGACGTTAGGTAGCCGAACTGTGCTGGGATCCTGATTCGGAAGCACGCATCCTTCAGGTCAAGACGCGAGAAGCAACGTGAACCCGAAACTTTCTCTCGAACGTCCTGAAGTCGCGGCAGGGACCAGTCATAGTCTCTTGTTACCAGGTTAACCGGAGTGCAGTCGTCATACACTCGTATCGCTCCATTCGACTTGGTCACGAACACCAGGTTGTTATTGATTGGTTGTGGTGATCGTGGTTCGATAACCTTCCTACATAGCCACTCTCCGAGCTGGCTTCTGAGTAGGGAACGCTCATGAGGTGAGAGCGGGCGCTGACGTGGCCGAACAGGTTCACCGGTGAGCTCCGGTATCCACTCGGCAATCGCCCGGGGCCTGTTTAGTTTTTGAGTCACTGCGACAGGCAGCAGCAGTGTGGCCCTTCTTCTCACACTTCCCACACTTGCGTCGTTTGGAAGAGGACGGCTTGTTCTCCGGACCACTCCGAGGTGAGAAATAGATCTGCTATACTTAGAATGGACTAGTGTTTGTCAGTATAAGATATCACATGACTCCAAACCCCTCTGCCCCCACATTCTGCTACTCTCTTATCAGCTTCCCGACTTCATAGTTTTTAGTTTTCCCAGCTTCCCACTCTCCCAGCTTCTTATTATAAGAAGACTTAGTTTTAAATAGTTATTATTAATTTAAAAAACGGTAAATTTATTTTTAATAACAATATTTAATATATATTACAATATATATTTATATATTATTATTAAGAAATAATATTAAAAAGGTATTTTTTTATGAAAACCGGTATTATTTAAGCTTTTTAAAAACTCAGTACTTTATAGTCTTTTTTAAAAAAAATAAAACTTAATAAAAATATTTATAAAAGTATTATTTTATAATATTATTAAATTTTATTTACAATATTTTTAATAAATCTTTTTCATTTTTGATTTTTTATATGATATTTCGCTTAGTAAATATATTTTAATATATAGTTATAAAAGTTTTATTTAATATATTTATTTTAATATTAAAAAAGTTGAATTTATAAACTTTATTTATTTAATATTATACGTTTTTAATATATAATAATATTTAATTTTATTTTATTATAATAAGTAGTTTATAATATAAAAAATTATTTTTTACTCTATTTAATACATTTATTTCCTTTTATTTTCGTCAAATTAATTTCTAATAATAAAGTTTAACAAAACTTAAGTTCTCTTTTTATATTTATATTATATATAGAAATCAATAGTTTTAAATAGCCGATATAAACACATTTTATTTTTTTAACTAGAACCGACGTCAAATAATTAAATAAATAAATAAATAAATATAATAGTTAATCCGCCGCCGGAGCCACAGTGGCTGCCCCCTAGGTGCCCCCCCCCGCCGCCGGTGGCTGTGCGCCTAACATTTGCTAGCCAAAACATTCTGTACACACATCAAGATGGCGAATCTTGGAAGGCGAGCTTCAAAGCGTGTATTGTATTAAGTGGACAGTGTCTTGGCTAGCTAGAGCTATTAGACTGCGCAAGCCTGTGCGTATGCTCAAAGAGGAATCTCAAGAACACCAGCGCCATTGGGCTTTGAGGATTCGATCAAGATCCAGAGTCATACCAGGCAGGATGTCTCGATGGTGAAATTCTCTCAAGTGGCCGGGATGATTGATCTTGGCAAAGATCATCTTGGATCATGTAAAAGTTTGCATCACTTTGGCCTTTTAAGCTTGGCCTGGAATGGTTCGACTAGATGTCTATGGAATCATGATCAACATGAATATCCACCGGCTGGCAAACTTTTGAGAAGTGTGGCACAGCCTTTGGGACGTGATTTACAGACGGGTCGGGTGGAAGAGTTGACATAGGAACTGGCCCAGGCGGCTTGACTATGACGGATCAGCGGCTTCGACAAACATGACCAAGACCGATGACATTCAGCTTTTACGCCATCAGCAGGTGCAGAGCGAGGCAATCGGGGCGGTCGCCGGTCAATGCCTAATGGCACAAGTAATGCACTTTATTGTTGCCGAACGGCCCGCATTGAACTACCGTAGACATAAGTCATTCTACAACCCAACATGTTCCAGAATGGCCAGGTCAAGCAAATCTTCACAGCCGATTTGCAGAGTGCCAGCGGAGCCTCACGAGTCAAGCGCTATATCTCACTTCATTATCCAAGTTCCTGTCCACGACTTCCAGGACTCCATATCGAGTCTTCAAAGCTTCGCGCTGCCGCCCATGTCACTTGTTGTCACAGTTGTTGCCACATAGACGGCTCACAACTCAGACCTCACCTGTAACGGTCCACTGCCCTGTTGATGACACTAGCCTCGATTCCGGGTTGAACATAGAACCGGTTCGGGTGTCGCTGATCGTGGGCCGTGGCCGTAGTGTTTCTACCGGCGGGAATACGGGACAAAGCCCCGCGGGCTTGCCAAATCAGTCTTCCCAACGACCGTCAGCCGCTAGGAAACGCGGCTCGTTGCGCGGCTCATCTTGGAGATTGCACGGTAAAAGGTAGGGGAAGCCGATGATGACGTGGTAAAGAGTATAGCTCGTCAAACTGTTGACCTGAGTTAGGTAGCAAACTAATTTAAGAGTCTTGGCCCTGTGATATGGATTTCTATGTGTTTATGTTTTCGTATTTGCATAAGAAACTGCCTAGAGAAACCTAGCCAGTATTTCCGTGGTTCCTCTTGTGCAAACTGTGTCGATGTTAAGACTAAATAAAGTGAGGCTGTTTGCGAGAGCAATGGGGAGCTCGGCAGAGTGGCGTGCAATCGCAAAAGCTATGCCTTCCGAAGCTAGTCCAGCAACGATGAAGTCTTCCGTCTCATTCAACGGATGTTAGTTGCTTGAGAATACAGGCTTTTCGTCAAGATTGATCTTCGGTTCGGTTGCACGGCCCAGAGAGGAACATCATTGGAAAACTTGCGTCACCGTGTCGGGAAGCACTTCGAACCCGGCTCAAGTTCGGCTCTAACTTCGCCTCAAAGGATGCATCGTGAAAATATAGAAAGCAATGGGACATTGCAAGTCATATCGAACACTCGGTAATGGCTAGATTCACAGGGCAAGAAATAGCACTCTTGAGCGCCCCAAATCGAGGAACATTTCTGGAATCTGGAGAGACGGCAATAGAAACTTTCCCGGGGGAAATGGTGGAAAATTTGAAACACAATATTCACTCTCAGCCTTTCACGTCACGAAATATTGTGACTTTCGCATGAGTCGCGAAATGGTGTGGTGCAGCTGATGGAAAACCGGTAGGTTCGCAGTATCAGTCGACAGAACAAGTGCTTCCCGTGGGGTCTCCGCATGTCATACGTGATTAATGAGAGTTTTCATTCTGCTTGGACAATCTACAAAGACATAATCCCTCGCCTTAATTCTAATTCTGCCCCGGATTTTCCGCCTCCCTACGGCCGAGGCTCACCAGTCACCGTACCTATGATTCGCAATATGCTCCACATCAAACCAAACTTCTGACAGCAAAGGGCTCTTCATGTCCATCTAGAAGTTGTAACAGACAACACTCAACCATCTCTCATTCCCTATTCTACGGCTCCGCTCCTTGACTGGCACAAACCCGTCGACGTACATTCTCCACACCGTAGGGTCCTTCAACATGTAACCCGTATCTACGACGGTCCGTCGGAGCGCCGCATCAGAAGATCCGTCGTCATCTCCAGTCTTCTCCTTGAGATTCTTCTCCACTTGAATCAATACGGCGTCTTGGATCGCATTCTCGGCGCGTATCTCATCTTGCGTCGCCACGAGGCCGTTCTTAGTGCCCGATTTGAACATGGGCGAGCGAGAATCCAGGCCGAAGATCTCAAAAAATTCCCTGTTGGCGACATGTGGATAGATTTTGTGGATTTCATGGTGGTGGATGCAGATATACGTCAGGATTGAATTCGGAATCGGCGACGGCTTCGGTGGCTCGGGAGGCGGGGGCCAGGCGGAGGAGAGGCTGAACGAAAGCAGCCCGAGGTCCACAATAGAAGAAAAATCCAGGTAAAAACCACAGAAAAGTGTTGCAAGCCACAATCAGTCACTCTGGTCGTCTTCATCGGCGTGTTCGCGGCCCTAAGTGGTGCGGTTCCTGAGCGGCGGACTCGAGTCTCGCTGGGAGCGTTGGTAAGGTTGGTAGGATAAGTAGGCATCATCTTCAGATCGAGAAGGGTCATCTAGGTAACCTATTTTTCGTCCATGTTGGTTCTTTCAGTGCCGAGATGGCATACCTGATGACAACCATGTGTTGTGAGGCGCTAGTGGCAAGAGTGATTGATGGAAGAATTGTGCTGGCTGAATAAAGCTTTGAAATACCTTCACCACTCCTCACTTCGTCTCTAATTTCTGGGTAAACTGGTGTTGTCGAGCCAAGGAAGTTCTTAAAAGGGTGTTTATATGTAGGCGAAAAAGGCGGGACAGGTCAAAGAAGTCTCATTTATTCATGTTAAATAAGTTCTACCATTCTGAACACACACAGACAAACGGACGCAAAGTGAAATTTTTCATCACATTGTCTTTGAGGAAAAATTGACACAATAAGTCGTCAAAGGACCAAGCCCAAGGCCGGGGTCTCCGACACACGTTCCCAAATGCCCAAGCCAGAAACGGCCCCTAAGAATGGCCCTTCTGTCAGACTACTTAACACCGCCGTCCACGCTACCTAAATTATATACTATTAAGCCCCTATTAGCGTCCTTTTTAACTCCCTTAGCTTTATAGAGAGCTCGTTTATATAAAATAATATCTATTTAATCTCGTCACAAAAGCCCTCGCTATAGAAATATTATAAATAAATATCGCGGAGGCTTGTTTAGGTCTCTAGGAGGTGGTGAAGGCCAGAGTAGTATCCCGAGAGGATGACCAGGTAATAAGAATGAGCCAAAGTGATGAGGCCTGGCCTTTTAGATGGAGAGGGTTGCCTAACGAGCGCAGAAGAAAGGATGTTCATTGGTCGTTCTTCCCAAGCTACGGAGCCTCGGTGACGCACTAGATCTATCTGGCTACCTGAAACCGAGGCTCCGCAAATAAACATGGCCGATGCGTAGGCTGGGGATGACACGACGGGCCGAAAATGGAAAGAAAATATTGTCGGAACGTTGGGCAGTCCAAGTTTGGGCTGGACCGGCAGTGTAGCTGGTGCATCGCCTTTAGATGGTTTCGACTGACTGCTTGATATAATGATAATCGACTTGTCGTCGCCATCAGTGTCGTCTGACGAGGATACTGAGGTGTCGAATTCATTATCATGTTCCGACCTTTCGAATGGGGATGATAGTGTCATACCGACAGACTCGGGCGGCGTGAGGGTTCAGTGGCGCTTACTTATCCTCTTTAGCAAGACCGGCGGGGTGGCTTAGAGCTCAAAGGGAGAAGGCTCTTCAATGTTGCAGAGGAGTGATATAAGCCAAATATTAATGATATTATTAAGATGTCGTCGGGGTACCGCACAGGGGCGCTCACCAGGAGTAGCAGGAAGTAAGGAACGTTCGGCTGAATATCGATATCTAGCTTTTCACTACTATCATTTGCAAAAGAGCACGGCGTCGAGACGGTAGTTAGTGGCTCCACAAAAGAAGGTTACGATCCAAGTTCCAATAAAATATATCGCAGGGCAAGTCATTGTGCTGCACGGAAAGCCGAAAAAAGGACGCAAGGAATTATCATTACAACATAACCAATCAACTAATGGGGCCAATAAGGTACGAGGGTTATCGCTGAGGAACTTATACGTCACTTTGCTTACTATGCGCACGCCAAGGACACATTAAGGCCATTTGCAACCAAAAAAACATTCTGAATGAAAACTATTTTGGCGGAGATGCGATCTTAACGCAGCCTTTGGAGATAACCCTATAACCCTCCTCAGTGCTAACAGAAGCGCCTGCTAGAGGGAGTATTGCGGTATTGGACGACTACTTAAAACACATATTACGATCGAAGTCGCCTACAGCCTTCGCAATGCGCATTCTCCATGTTCCTTCTTCTAAGTGCTGGCTGTGGAGGTCTGGTCAGGCTCCAGGCGCAATAAAAAGGAGACTCATTTTCCTGGGCTATGAAATAGAACCGGCCGGAGTTAATTAACTTCCCCTTGGGCGGTATGAGGCTGAATGAATGCCTCGTAGACCTTTATATTCTGCTGAGCTTACATCGCTTAATTGCATTGCATGGGCGAACATTATGGCCAAAGTGTCACTTTGATGATGCAAGCGGCTTCCTGTTCAGATTGAGGACGGGTGTGATACCGCGACAACGCGTCAAGACATGATGGCACGGAACCATGCCAGCGGTCTGTGGAGACATTAATCGGGGCCTCCACATTGTGTTAATTTGAAGCTCCACCGCCACGGAGAGCAGGCATATCGGATCAATCCACAACAGTCCGTAGGTAACGTATGATCCGGTGCAGCATGCATAGCCACCCATGCTTTGTAGATGCAGCCGGTGCTAGTTCTAGGAATACGCGACATCAGAATACGCAGTGCGCTGCCTTGAAATTCCACCGGATGATTCTGCTTCCGTTATGGCCTCGTGCTTTAGGACTTCCTTTCGGACAGGAGTAGAGAGGCGTTTGCCTTTTCCAAGCATCGTGGTGACTAACACCCAGTATCCTGAAAAATGGCTCCACCCGTTAGTGTGTTCCCCGCGACCTAACCTCTCTCCCTGTTTGCGTTGTGTCTTGAGAGAAGCAGGGGATAGGCGGCGTTCATTGAGTTTGAGTGGGTGGAAGCACGTTTGCTCAGTTCTTCCCATCGACTTTTCATGGAGTAAGGGTTGGATGGTACTGTTCCCGGTGAGGTCAATGATAAGCTTAGGATCAACAAACTCTTTCTGCCATAGGTTATTATAGGCTGCTGTGAAAGCCACATGCATCCCACCCCTTATCGCACAACGAGGCTGGATGCTAGGGAACCGACAGACGGGTAACGGCGAGATAATTCAATCAGTAGATCACATGGTAGTCAGCACCTTAATATGCGCCACATTCATGCCGACCACGTGGGTTGTTGTCCAGGCTTGATTGGTAGAACGTATATGTTGTTGCCTTGAGTCCAGTTTGGTGGATGGATGGCTGACCATTTGGCTTGCCAGGATGTGGCAGATGATTTTCACATTGCTTCGGATTTCGGTGACTATTGACAAGGCAGAAGCGAGGCAACAAGACTTATCCGCCTGGCGCTTACGTCTAACTCTGATCAGTGTTCCCTCCCAGGCTTCTGGAACCCGCATTCAGTTTTACCGTAGCCAGTCTTTCAATCTGGGACACAAAGCACTGTTTTATAAGAAGGGGAAGTTGTCTCGACGCCAAGTGAACAACGAGGCTTGATGTACTTCTCTTGCAAAAAGCACTGAGGCTTCCTTGTATTCACAGTTTTGTTTGGAACTTGAGTGCTTGTTGTTATTACAATTATTGGCATTAGCCGTAAACCTTAATCGACAACAGCTGGGTATCTCGTTGAGTTTATTGAAGCCAGGATGTCTGGAGGGACACTCTACCGATACGAACCATTGAATCCCCAGGATAACAAAATCAGAGTCTTCATCTTATACCCGGGCCTCTTCTTGGATGATGTTGTCGCCAAAGTTTCCCACGCTGAACTTGGCCGAAGCAGGTACGAAGCTCTGTCATACACTTGGGGACCTGCGACCCACGACCATGGCAAGGTACATCTCCAACAAGGCGAACCATGCGCTAGCATTGGCCTTGATGCTCTCCCGTTTGTCAAGGTCAGGCCAACGCTCTTGTCAGCTTTAAGATACCTTCGACTCCCTACCGCGCCACGAGTTTTGTGGATCGATAGTTTATGCGTAGACCAGGAGAACCTGGTAGAGCGGAGTCGAGAGGTTACCAGAATGGGCGAGATTTACAATAAAGCAGAGCAGGTAATTGTGTGGCTAGGGCCTGACGATGATGACACCTCCGTCGCAATGGAAACAATCAAGCTTCTGAGTGAGGGTGTTGTCATGCAGTGGCATCGTCGTTTGTTCACCACCGTCCCTGGAAGCGCAGCCGATATGCTTCGGAATCGTCCCAATGACTCGTTGTTGACGCTTTCACAATGGTCAGCATTAAGAAGTCTCATCACACGGTCTTGGTTTACGAGGTTATGGGTCCGGCAAGAAGTCGCGCTGGCATCGAGAATTGTCGTCCTCTGTGGTTATTTTGAAGCAGATTGGGAAAACGTCGAAAAGGTCGCCATTCTCCTGGAGCATTCTTTGGTCAAAGCCCACATCTGCTTGAGAGACATACTCTTCGTTCGTTCGCTTTTTCACTTCCGCGGCTCAGATGAGCTAAGTTACATTCTACACCGGTCCAGCTTTTGCGGATACTCGGATGGCCGCGACCTCGTCTACGCGAACCTATCCACCTCATCGGCAATCAAGGCGCTTCACATTGAGCCAAACTACACCATGTCTGTTGCTGCAGTATATAAAGATCTCATTCTTCAGTACGTACAGCATTTTGGCAATCTGGATATCCTCCGTTCTTGTGATCCACAGAATTCGCCGCCTGATTTCGAATCCTTCGTTCCTGATTTCGCCGTTGCAAAATCCGAATCTCGTCTTGTCAAAGAATATGCTCATGGAGGCACGAGACATTTGCCAGTCACCGTCGAAAGAGGAAGCATGCTCAAACTGAAGGGAAAATACATCGGCAGGGTCAGCTATGTTTCCGAGTTCCAAAGATCTCTGTCCACGGGTTACGGCGATCGCGCTAAGAACATCGATATCATCATGACCTACCGTCGCTGGGAACCGGAAGATCTCTTCACCGCGACATATCCAACCGGCGGCACATTGTTTGATGCCTTTGTCGGGTTATTGGCCGGTGGTGCTTTCAAGGAGGTCTACGGTGGTGCTCATCATCCAACAAGGGATGAAGCCAAGGAAGCCTTCCTGGCAGTCGTTTGGTCTGGTGGGAACGTCAATATGGTCGGTGAGTCCAGATTCTGGAATTATGTTGGCGAACTTACTTCGGATCGGAGGGGTGAGAATTACTTTCGCACACAGGATGGTCACATTGGTACTACTCCGGGGGATGTCCGGACAGGCGATGTTATTAGTGTATTTCCTGGAGGGAGTGTAGCCTTTGTGTTGCGTCCAGCGTTGGAAGACACACAAAGTGGCTGTTACCAGCTCATGGGACCCTGCTATGTCGAGGGCGTTATGTTTGGAGAAGCTCTGCTTGGGCCATTTCCGGAGCCATGGCTCTGCATGAAGGACATCGGACTGGGCCGCTATTGGTGTTTTGGCAATCGACAAGACGGTAAGCGAACTTTTGAAGACCCCCGACTCTGGCCTCTACCTTCCCCTTGGCAAGTCCATTATTGTGTCATGAACTCTGAAAACGGTCCTTGTAGTGGAGACTGCCAGGAGCACGATAAGGAAGGCACTTTAAGCAGCCGTTATTTCTTTAATAACGAATCTGGGGAAAGGACTGAGAAGGATCCTCGACTTGACATAGCTGGCTTAGAGAAGGGCGGGATTCTTCTTGATATTTTCACATTAATCTAATATTAATTATGCCCGAATGTAATGGCCAGAAACTTTGTTACTCAGATGCGATGCAACTGGCTGCTCTATTGAAATGGCTGCGCTATGGCACTGGCAGCCATGTTATGTGTGATTAGTCAGTAGGTTCCACCTCAGCTACACCTTAACGTCACCTCTAGCCTATAGCTAGCTAAATTTCTCTTTTTATTATATATATATTATAAAAAAACTAAATAAATTAAATAATTAGCTTATTTTTAGGTAATATATTTATTCTATTTTTTTTAAATCGTTAGTTTATTTCTTTTATATAATAATATAACTTTCTTTTTTTTATTAAATCGATCGATTTTTTTTAAGTTATTAATATGTTTTAATTAATTAAAAAATTAATTTTAATTTTTAATAATAAAAGTATTTATATAATAACTTTATTAATTAATATTTTTATAAAATAGCCCGCCGAGTAGGACTCGTTATATCCTAAGCCCCTGTTAAAAAATATTTTTTTTTAAATAAAACTTTTATATTTATTTTTTTAACTAAACGAAATTAATTAGCTTTTTATTATACGACGCGTTTAATAATCGTAAATATTTTAAATTAAATAACTTATTTTCTTTTTTTTTAATTATAATTATAATTACGATTATAATTATTATAATAAGTACTAAGTAAAAGCTATAGTTTTAAAATATTAATGGTCGTTTTATTTATATTAAAGCTATTATTATTATAAATAATACCGAGACCGTAGCGCTTACTATTTTTAAAATATTAAAACTTTTATTACCGATATCTTTTCTTTTTAAACTTTTTTTAATAAGAACTATTTTTATATTTTCTTTTTTTTAAATTCTTTTTTAAAATATAAAATTACGGCTTAAACGTATTTTTATTTTAGTTTTAAAAAATAATATTATAAAACTTAATAAAAAAGGCGGTTTAAAATTTTTAAATTTTTAAAGCTTAGCGCTTAGAGACGATACTTTTTTTTTTAAGCGATTTAAACCTTTTTTTATAAAAGTTTTTATTTCCCGATTAATTAGTGATTTTATTTAAGCTTTAGCGTAGGCTTTAATATAGCTTTTAAACGTTCCTTTTTAAATAGCGATTTTAATAATTACGTTATCGAACCCGGTTTTAAAAACTACTTTTTTAATTTAACGATATTTTTTTAAATTTTTAAATACTATTAGTTATCTTTTTTAATTTTCTTAACTTTCTTTAGCTTAACCTATTAAAGTATACCGGATCTACGCTTAGGACTTATTCTTAATAAAATTATTAATAAAAAAGCCCCTTTTATTTCTTTATCCCCCTTTTTTAATTTTTTTTTAACCTTTTATTTTTATAATAATATTAAAAAATATATTTATATTAAAAAACTCGCTTTTTTTATTGATTTTAATAACTAAGGATTTATTATTTTTTAAAGCCTTATTATTAAAACCTAAGCCCGTTTTATTTTTTTTAATTTTTAATTTTACTCCCCTTAAATAACTTATTTTAATTATATTTAGATATTAATAATCCGTCTTTAACAAACTATTAAATAAACTATCTAAAAAACCACTTAATAAACTATTTATCTTTTTACCGAATTTAACCCCTAAACCCCATTTATTTCCCTAAGCTCTATTAATTAATAAACTTTTTTCCCCTTTATTATTAATTAAATCTATTCCCATTATCTCTCCTTTACTATTAATTAACTTAATCTCTTTTATATCCTTCTTATTATTAATTAATTTAATTTTAATTATTAAACTCTTTATTATTTTTTTTTTAAATTACGTTCTATATTTATTTAATTTAAAATAAACGATTTTAAACCCGGACCTTTAGGCTTACGCCCTAATCCTTTTATACTTACTAAACTAATAATATTTAAAAGCTTAGTTTTTAAAAATATTAACTTAAATAATAAAATAAATCTTTTTATTTCTTACCGGTAATACTTTTTAAATTATATTTTACTTATATATTTTAATAATAAATAATATAATAGCTATCATCTTTATTAAAAAAATATTATTAATTTATTTATTATAGATTACGTTTTATATATTATTTATAAATTTCTTTTTTATAATTATTAAGATCTCTTAACTATTATAAATAAAGATATAAATAATAGTTTTTATATTATTTTATAGCCGAGGCCCTAACGTTTATTAAAAACTAATAAACGTATCCTCGCTAGCTTTACCAATAACGATAATAATAACGCTAATTCCGGCCTTTAATTTAAATCTCAATTTTAAATTAAAACTTTTTTTTATAAATATAATTTACTATTTAAACGATATTATTATAATAAAAAATAAATAATAAATAAAAAACTTATTATTTAAGCTCAGTTTTAAACTTAATTTTAAATTTAATAATATCTCTTTTTTTAAATTATATTTTAATTTATATACGGATTTCTTTTTTATATTTAATAAAGAGTTTATATTCTTTTCGCTTTTTTATTTTATTTTTATATTTAATTTATATTTATTTATTTAAAATAATTTAACTTAACCACTACTTATTTTAATAATTATAGCTATTAAAATAATTAAAAAGACCGTTAATATAACCGCCTTTTATATTAATATTATAATAACTTTTTTAAAACAAATTCAATTTTAATAATAAATCCTTTTCTTATTTTAAAAAACTTAAACCGGAATTATTCGTTTATAATAATATAATTACTTTTATTTTTTTATATATTTATAAAATCGATTTTTTAATTATATTATATAAAGTTAATATCATTATTTATATAATAAGCTACGGTATTTTATTTAAAAAAACTAACGATAATAAATAATTTAATACCTTTTTTTAATATTAATACTTTATTATAACTATTAATTTAAATTTTTAAAAAACTCTTTTTAAAAAAACTTTTTAAAAAAATCGTAGTATTATATTTATTAAAACGGATTAATTTAAATACCTCTTTTTTTTTTAAAATTAATATACTTTTTTAAATATACCTAAATAAAAAAATCCGACTTTATAATAAAGTTAATAAAATAAATAAAAATATATAATATCGACGTATTATTATAAGCCTAGACTTTAACCTCGTTATTTTTATTTTTTTAATTTTTTATAATACTTTTTAAAGCCTTAAAACCTAAATTTTTATTAATTAATATATTATTAAAGTTAATTAAAAAACTTTTAATAATGCTTATTAAGCTTTATTAAAACGTATTAAAGCTTTAAATACCTTTTATTAACGTTATAATAATTATTAAAAGAATAATCGTTATTTAAATAACCGTCGTAATAACTCTTATTATAATAATTATAATTAAAATAATTTTAACTGCGATAATTAATATTTTTATTAAAATAATAATCGCCGTTTAAACAACTATCGTAACGACTATTTATAATATAATAAACATCGTAATAACCGTCCTTATTATAACGACTATTATAACGATCAATTATATTAAAATAATCGTTATAATACTAAAAACTCCCGTAATAATAATAAATAAAATAACAGAAATCCTTTATATAATATTAAAACTACTTCGTAATTTAAAAATAATAATATTCTTAAGTTTAATCGTCGTCGTAAGTCTTTTAATAAACTTAATAATAACTATTATAATAATTATCGTAATAATAACTATTATAATAATAACTATCGCGGTAATAACTATTATAATAATAATTACCGTAACTAAAAAGTCAAAGCTTATTATATTTACGATCGCTCCCCTTTTTAATTTAATTTTAATTAAAACTACCCTTCTAATTATTCTTTTAATATTAATAATATTATATTATTAAACGATTAAAACGATTATTAACCATAGATTATGTTTTATTAACTAAAATTGATTATAAAAATATATTTATTATTTTTAAATAATAAAAACCCGTGGATAAGATTAAATATAAAATTTTATTAAATAATATTATTATTTATAACCTAACTATTATTATCTTATATTAATTAATAATATTAATAACTATATTATTAAAAATTATACCCCTAAAGCTTTTAAAAAAAAAATATTAACCCTTATTAATATTATATCCCTTATTTTATTTAATATAAATATTTAAATATTTAATACTTTAAACCTTCTTTAAAAAAATTAAAATCCGTAAATAAAAAATTAAAAAAAAGACGTATTACTTTTTAAAAATAAAATATCTAATAAAAAAAATTATTAATTAATTAAATTATAAACTATTTAAATTTTTAATATAATACCCCTATTCTTTTTTATATTCGTATTAAATTATAAACTTTATATTTTATAAATAATTAAATTTATAAATTCGATACTTATTTATATTTTAAAATTATTATTTATATCCTCTTAAAGAAAAGCTATACCGTATTTTTAAATATTTATTTTATTTTATTATTTATTAAATAAGATTTTCTTACGAAATTCTTTTTTAATTTATTAATATAAGTTTATAAACTTTTTTATTTTAAAAATATAAATAATAATAAACTAAATATTTCGATATTAATATAGTTCTTTATTATTTTATAAAATCTTAATAATTTTATTTTTAAAATTTAATACCCTGTTTATATTATAAATAAACTTTTTTATAGTTTTATTTTTAGTAAATATTTTTTATAATTATATTTCTTTAATATTAAATAAGGTAATTAATACGAAATTAACTATTTTATTATTTTATAAAAATAACGTATTTTAATTATATTCGTTATTAAATACTAAATTTAAAATAAAAAATCCGTTTAATTATATATTATTAAAAGATATATTATTTTAATTAAATACGGTTTTAATATTCCGTTTAAATATTTTTTATTATTTATTATTATTTATAAATACGTTATTAATTTTTAACCTTTTTCGGACCTTTAATACTTATTTTATAATTTTTTAATATATATAA